GGGGGGGGGGCGGTAAGACTTCTCAGCTTATACCCTTCTATACAGTTGTGATTTTTCTGAACGTCTTACTTAGAGAACCCCTAAAACTAAACAAATTTTCAGCGAGGGAGGAGGAGAAACTGGGGGTGACCCAGCAGCAAGGGGAGGTGGGGGGTATGGCTCTGGCCTTGTAGGCAGAAGGGTTTTTAAGTGGGGTGGGGACAGGTCTGCATTGGCTCACGGATCTGTTCAGGGTTTCTGTTTGTCCCTCTCACGTTTTTAACAAGATTTGAAAGTAACTGTCACACTTAAATCTGGGTAATTTTTGTAAAAATCCAGACTATGGCTTCTCTCGAAAGGCTCTGGAGCTCTGGCCTCCTTGGCAGGCGGCACGTGCGCTCCCGTTTAGTGCGCCCAACTTGGCTGCCTGCACTCGTTTATATTTGACTGTCCTGTTAGCACCCGAGTGGACCACCTCAGGCATAAGTTGATTGAATTGGACAGAAATAAAACTGTTTAGAAAACATCTTGATTTTGGTGCTTAAGTCCGACTCTATACCCTCCATGTGGGAAACAGCCCCTCCTCATGGTCTCACCCTTCCCGGAGAGGCTGGGCTCGTCCTGGGCCCCCCTGGCCTGGAGTCACTGGGGGGCACTCCCTACCAGGCCCCAGCCACCTCGTTGCCCTACCCTAGACCCACTCACCCTTTGGGGTCTAGCCCGCTACTCATGCTGGGCTGGCTGCTATGCTGGAGGCTCATGGTGCTGGATAGGAGCCGCCCTGGCCGGGCCACCTGCGGGAACTTCCAGGGTTTCTTTGGGCCTTGCCCATCTGGAGGAAGCAGAGGAATTGTTTCCACGCACCCTAGCCCAGGGCAGGACACCTCCAGCTTGGGGCAGCCACGTACCTTTGGAGCTTGTTTTGCCCTTGTTCCCTGGTCCTACAGGAAGCAAGAGAGGGTTCCAGATGGCTTCAGCTAGAGCCAGACCTTCAGAAACACTGCTTGAGGGCACAGGGTTCCCCAGGACCCTCCCAACCCTCTTCCCCTGTTTCAGAAAGACATGCATGGGAGGAAAGCCCCTGGGGTCTGAGTTAGAGCAGGCCCTATCTTCCTCGAGTGGATGTGTGGGCCGAGCCATGAGGCCCTAAGGGGCACCTGCTGCCTCTGGCTGGGGCTTTGCGAGGCCTGGAAGGGGCCCAGCTTGTGGCCTGGACCCTCCAAGGCCACTGCCAGCTGGGCTCAGGGTCTAGATGGACCCAGGGACCCACTTTCTCTTTTCTGCTACCTTTGTCCCCTATTGTGGAGAATAAAATCTTCTCTTTCAGGGGCTTGGTGCCCTCCTTGGTCTTTTTGAGATCCAGGTGCTTCTTCTCCTTTTCTTCCAACCACTCCTTAGGCGACAGCTTGTATAGGAAGTCCTTGTAGATCTTGTAATGCTGCAGAGTGTCTTCAAATTTGGAGATTTCACTAGACCCGGAGAGGGGGTGGTGAGGTCAGGTTCTGCCTCCTGGGACACCCCTCCAGAGGGGACTGCCCCTGAAGCCTGGCCAAGCCTGGCATGCTCCTTGTTCTCCTGGGGACAGGCACAGCAGCACTGTTGTGCCAGGGAGAGGACACTGCCCTGCTGGGGAATGTGGGTCACACCTCTACAATTACAGCTCTCCGTGACTTTGGAGTTGCAGTGGACCCTGGGGACCCTCTCTGTGTGCCAAGTGAGCCCTGCCTCCTGGTGTGGCCTTGAGAAAGTCACTGAATCTTTTCTTGGCCTCTGTCACCTCATCTGAAAAATGGGCAGCTGCATCCTGCAGGGCTTTGAGTCCCTAAGCTATTTAGGTTTGAGAGTTGAAGCGCTGAGGTTTGTGCTGTGCAGGGGCTCCTTTTGGCTACAGGAGAGGGGCGGAGGGAAGCGGCAGCAGACCAGGCAGCAGATCAGAATTGGCAGGCTTGCCCTTTGAGCTCACCTTTTGATGTTCATGATCTGGGTGGTCAGGTCCCGGATCTCAATGATCTTCTCCACCTTTGCTTTGGTCTCCTTCTCAGCCCTGGGGGTGGGGGTGGGAGCCAATCGCGGACTGTTAAAGGGGGCGTGTACCCTGCGCTGGGAGGGGAGTGGGGAGCTGCCAGGGGCCAGGTCGGGGGAGGGGGGCAGAGGGGGGCTGGGCGGATGCAGGCAGGTTGGGCGCAGGTGCACAGTCCCCGGGGGGCACGGGGGTGGGGCGCGGCGGCGCGCCGGCTGCCCCTCCGCGGGGGCTCACACTCTCAGGGCCTGAACGGAGCTGCGGTCATTCTCCCGGAGAAACTCATCGAACAAGGCTGCGTCCTTCTCCAGGGACTTCTCAGCCTGCTCCAACTGCGCCTCCTCCTTGGCCGCCAGCATCTCTAGCCGCTGGACCTCGCTCCGCTTCCTGTGCAGGGCGTGCTGAGGGCCACCCGAGCGGGGGTCAGGCTCCTGGCTGGGGGAACCCCCTCCCCGGGCCCCCTGCGCACTGCAGCTGGGCCAACCTGGATAAGGAACATCTGCCGCTTCTGATTAAGGTAGTTGTTCATGTTATCAGATTCCATCTTCCTTTCTGCAAAGAGAGGAGGGAGGTCTCTGGGGGGCGGGGTGGGCAGTGCGAGAGACCCGAGCTGGGCCGAGGACGCCACTCCTGGCGTATGCTCTGCTGGCAGGTCCAGGTTATTACAGGGACTCTGGGAGATGGAGCTCTGTCTCTAGCAAAAGGAGAGAAGGCTCTGTTTATATATTACACTCTGCCTGGCTGGAGACTGGGCCAGGTGGGAAGTCCTTTCCTATGTCTGACTTGAGCCTCTCTTGCTGTAGTACTCTTCTCACCTGGAGTGAGACTCTGGACACCCCCGCCCTGGACATTTCATCCAGCTGGACCTAATAACAAAAGACCTATTAGGCCAGGACCTGCATTGGGGTGGTGAGAGAAAAATGGGGCAGCATGATCTCTCTTTAGGGTACTCTAAGCCCCCAGGATCCAATTTGGGTAGTAGCTAAGTCGACACACCAGGGTTTAAGCCCGGTGGGAGGAAATTAAAGTGGGCATCTGGAACACCTTCTGGAGGGCAAACAGAGAGGCAATGCAGCTGGGGCTAAGGGCCACGGGAGCTTCCTTCCCTTCTCTTTCTGGAGAGAAAGGCCTAGAAGCGCCCTGACTTTGGAGAGGCCAGAAACCTAGGAAAGGGCTGTGGAACCATGTGGCTCTCTGTGTTCTCTCTCAAACCCTCTCCTTTCCGGAAGACCCTGGTGTGGTGCGGGAGTCTTAAGTCTAGAAGCCTGGCAGAGACCCAGCCTGGCCTCTGTCTCCCTGGGCCACCTTGTGGGAAGGCCCTTCCCCCAAGGAGACCCAGCTCCCCACTGCAAGTCAAATCTGGGATATGGACAAGTCATGTGCCTAAACCCGCTGGGTCCAATCTTCCCTATCTAGATGCAGCCTGCCTCTCCCGGGGTGGGACCAAAGTGACAAATGTGCAGTGCTGCTGTTCCCTCTCATGCAGAGCAGGGCACAAGAAGTGTCAAAGTGAGCTCAGGGCTCTCCACCTAAAACCACTCCATGGGGTCAGGGGTAGAGGCTGGGGGTCTCTTTGATTAATATTCACATTCAGTACACCTGCAGTCCAGTTGGGTTCCAGGACTTTATCATCTGGGCTGGTAGAATATTAATGCATATTCAGTACTTAAGATTTCCTACTGGGTCATAAAATTAATAATAGCTCACACACACCCCCACACACAGTTCCTTCTCATTATATGTAGCATCTAAAGACATTGAATCACACAACCCACGAGGTCGGCACTGTCATTGGCCAGGAGAGGAAACTGCTGTGCAAAGGAGCTGAAGAGCCGGCCCAGGGTGGTGAGGTCACTCAATGCTGAAGCTGAGATCTGAACTCGGGGAACTTAGTTCCAGACTGACACCCTTTACCGTCAAGTTAAGGGACTATATTTTACATGTGTGCAGTCTGCATTCACGGGCACGGTAACGTTCCGAACGCGTGCAATACTGGGATTCAAAGGCTTTTAGATTTGCATTCCGTCTGGAATTAATCTGTGTGATGGCGGAGGCAGGGTCAGACACAGAAAAGACCCCTCCCCCTTCCCCATTGCACCGCAGCCCTGACTCTCCAAGCAATTTAAAAGTGCTGCCCATGCACGAAGGGCAAGACCTGACTCCGGAAAAGGGGGCACCTTTGGTCATGTGGAGCTTCCACGCCGTGTTGTCGTGGAAGGCGCGCAGCCGCTCCGCCTCGGCGCGCATCTCCTGGTCCTGCATCTCGTCCTCCAGCTGCAGCTCCCGACGCAGGCTGGTGTGCTTGGCCGACACTTTGGACGAGTAAGTCATCTTTTGGTGCACCTGCAGGGTCGTCTTCTGCTCCCGCTCCTGGTGGGCGTGCCCAGGCGGAGTTGGGCGGGGCCAGTATCTATTTCTACCCCCTCCCCACCAAGCCTGGGATGAGCCTCCTTCCCTGGGCGTCACCACGCGTCCCAGGGTCACACGGCCTTGAGGGAATGCACACGCGGAGCGGGGGCCCGAGGTGAGAACCTGGTCCAGGCTGCGCACTCGCTACGCGCAGAGAAGGCTGTGGAGCTGTGTGTGCTTGTGGGAGCGCCCCGGGGTGGGGGGTGGACTGAGCACAGCTCCCTGGTTGAGAGGAAAGTGGGCAGGAAGCGCTTCCAGACAGCGGGGTGAAGGGGGGGTCACCAGGTGAAGTACAGGATGCCCAGTGAGATGTGCATTCAATAGTGCAGGGACATACTCACTAACAGATGATTCCTCCTTTATCTGAAATTCGCACTTACTGTGATTTGCTAAATCTGACCCTCCGAGGTTCAGGGAAACTAGATCTTCTGAGTTTCCAAAAGAAACTCGAAATCCATGGGGCGCCTGGGTGGCTCAGTCAGTTAAGGGTCTGCCTTCGGCTCAGGTCATGATCCCAGGGGCTCCCTGCTCAGTGGCGAGCTTGCTTCTCCCTCTCCCTCTGCCTCTCCCCCCACCCCAGCTCATGCTCTCTCTCTCGCTCTGGCTCTATTTCAAATAAATAAATAAAATCTTAAAAAAAAAAAGAGAGACTTGAAATCCTGAGTTTGATCTGCAAGCTCAGCAGTCAGTGTTGGCAGTGATCGGGTTGCTGGGGATTTGCCCGCACCAGCTCCTCCCCACCCTGCCTGGCCTCCAGTCTGCCTCAGGGTTGCTCCCATTCCCAGCCCTTCACTTGGGAGGATCCTAGGATGGTGTGGGGGTGGGGGCTTTTCTTCCCTGAGGCCTAGTTCAGGTCTTTGGCTGCAGGGGCGCCCAGCCCCGCCAGCTGCCAAGCCCTGGGGGTCTCCCCATCCTTCTATGCTAGACACCCTAGCCCACAGAATCAGATAGGCCTTCATGAATCCTCTTCATTTGGCCTTTCCTGGGGCATTTCTATTTCCTGCTGGCCCTGCCAGGTGCAACAACCCATTCAGCCTCTAAAGAAGGCTGTTTAGGGAAACCTCATCTGTGAGGGGATTCAGCCTGAGGCCACTAGCTTGCATGTCTGTGTAGAAGAACAAAGTGGGGAAATACCACCTGCTAGAATCCCAATGGCAGAAGGTCTGTGCTTAGAAGAAATTGGGCAGCTGCTTGGGGTCAATGTGAGACTGCGGGGTTCTGCTGGGGTGTGGGGAGGGGTATCAGGTTTGTTTGATTTAAGAAGGCAGAGGCGACCCTGGAAGCAGGGCTAGGCTAGGAGAAGAAAATCCAAACTTACACTGGAGAAAGAGAAAGGTCTCTTAAGTCAATGTCAGAGAAAGTTTTGTGTGTGTCTGCCGTGTTTCCCCACTTAGAGGCCTCTGAGAAGTGTGTGTTGCTCAGTATGGCTTTGTGTGAGTGCCTCCTTCCAGGGCATGAGGGGGTGCACAGCATGGCAGTAAGGTGGGGAAAACACTCATGGTGGCCCCCCCAGAGCTTCTAGTGGGGAGGTCTGGGGTGGGGCTGGAAAATGTGCATTTCCTTATGTGTCTTTGTTCACTGGTTGGGTCTCAGTGGGAACCACTTCTCCAAGGAATCCCAGATACTGAGCCCTGAGTTGGGGCAGACAGAGTCAGAGCAAAAGGGAGCCTGGAACACACTGGCCATGCCCGTGCCCCCGAGAGTGTGTCCAGAAATATGGCCCATGCTGACCACTTCTCAGGGAAGATGCTCCCGGGTGAGTCCTCCCTGGGCCTGGCCGCAGGGATGCTTGCTTGCTCTGGCCATGCTGCAGGGGGTGGAAATGGACAGATTGGCTCTTGGATGGGGAGGCAAGACAGACTATGCTGGGATGCAGACAAGGCATGGGCTAGGGGTTGGGGCTGGCTCCAGGATTCCCATGTATTGCTGAGGGGCATGCGTGTCTGTGTGTGCACGCATGTGTGCTTGGTTGTGTGTGTATCTGGCCTCCAAGAATTCCAGCGAGGGGGACTGTGCACAGCTGGAGCAGTTGCAAGGGCGGTGGTCTCCTGGGGGAGGTGTGAGAGTCCCTGAGGTCTGAGATGGGCCTTGCAGGACAGAGAGAGTCTCAGGAGCGGATGGCCTCTCATGCAAGAGAAGCAGAAGCAAAGCCTGGTGCTGAGGCTAGGCCACAGTAGCTTCCAACAGCCCACTCTGACAAGACTCAGGAAGAGTAGGGATAAAACTGTGTAGGAACAGTGGGACAGGTCAGATACTGGAGAGCTAGTCAGGTTTTTGAATTGATTTTTTAAAAAATGGTGAGCCATTGGGGCGCCTGGGTGGCTCAGTCAGTTAAGTGTCCGACTCTTGATTTCAGCTCAAGTCGTGATCTCAGGGTCGTGAGATGGAGCCCCCATCAGGCTCTGTGCTCAACTTAGAGTCTGCTTGAGATTCTTTCTCTCTTTCTCCCTCTGCCCCCCCTTCACTCTCTCTAAATAAACAAAATCTTTAACAAAATAACCATTGACTATTCTAGAGAGAGTGACCCAAAGAAAGTACTCTTCTGAGAAGGGCAATTTGGCTCTGCATGTGTGAGGGAGGGACGAGTTGTGGGCAGACCAGTCCTAGATACTCACTGCACGAGACTTATTCCGCTCCTGTTCTCTGAGCAAGAAGAAATCCACATCTCCAGACATGTGGAAAGGATTTGCTGAACGGTCAGGAACAATCATGGACACTGGAGAGGGAGATACCTCATTGGAGAGATGAGCCAGCTCTTCCAAACAGTGGCCTGTGCCTCGGGAGTCCTGGTGCCCTCTCCGCCCAGCATGAGGAACTTGAAAGCACAAGCTAGTGGCAAAAGTTCTCTTGGATCCAGCTGTGCCTGAAGTCGAACTCTGGCCCTTCCAACTCCATAAACTCACCTGTCTGGTTTAATCTAGTTGGATGTGGGCTTCTGTCCGTGGCATCTGAAAGAGACCTGGTGAACACAGCCCCTCCTGTGTCTCAGACCTCTGGCCCCTCTCATTTAAAGTCTCAGGAACCCCTATTCCTTAGAGGAGAGAAGCAAGAGGGGGGAGGAGATGGGACCAGCTGGCAGGAGGTTGGCCCACTCCAGAGCAGAGGCACCTGCCTGCAGAGGGCAGTGGGCAGTGGGCACACCGGGTGAACATGCCTGTCTGCAGGATTCTCCAGGAGCCTCCCAGGGGAAGGCTGAGTTGTGGGCAAGTGAGGCAAAGCACCCGAGGCCTAGGGGGTGGGGGTCAGGCAGGAATTTGGGAGATGGGGGCTGCCAAGGACCCCTGCTCTGCTGCTCCCCCTACCTCTGTGGGTAAGGAAGAGGTTCCTGCTGCTCAGCTCAGCAGGGAGAGAACCCAGGAGGCACCAAACTAAGGGCTTAAAAATATGGATGTTTTCTCCCCTTATCCTTGATTTAGAGGAAAAGGGGTTCGTTGTAAGACAGAACAAAACAAAACAAAAAATTCTTGGAAGTAAAAGAGTATGAGAACAAAATAACTCCCCCACTTTGAAACAACTGCTGGTGACATTCTGGGGGTATTTTCTTCTAGTAATTTCCAACACCTATTTTTAATAATTTCACATCTTTAAAAAAAAACACTTCACCTTCAGCAAATGCCTGCGAAATTACTAATTCTTTGCGAGCCCTGTACGCAGTTATAACGGGGTGCAGTAAGGCATGGCTTTCCCAGGGCGCCACCATGGGCTGGCTCTTGGCAATTGATTTTCAGAAGGGAGAACAGGGGCCAGGGGCTGTGAGCATTTCCAAGCTTCAGAGTCTTATGCCGACCTGCCTTCCTGGCGGTCTGTCCCATTTTACACCCTCACCAGTGAAAATCCCCTGCGAAGGGGATTTGAAGTTATGCACCGAGGGTCTCAAAATACCTCCGCACAAGATCCGTACTTATTAATGACCAAGAGTAGAGAAGCTGGCTGACTCCATCCTGCTCAGGCCTTCAGAGTGAACTAGAGCAGAAGCGAGAGGGGTGGGCCTTCTCTGGCCAGTGCGACCCCAGCAGTCACTCAGATGGTCCCGCCAGGATGCTTCGCCTGCACCCATCATGCAGAGGGGGTGGAAAAGCTCCAAGTCTACGACATCTCTGTACTGTTCTTTCAACTTTTCTCTAAGAATTAAATCCTGTCAAAATAGTTTACAAATCTGAGTGAGAAGAGGAAAGAAAGATGATCTACTCCTGGGCCCCGCTGAGGGGAGGAAGCCCGCAGGGGCCTCCAGTCAGGTCTCAGCCTGGTTTCTGGAGAGGGGAGCATGCGGAAGGAGGTGGCCCAAGACAGGGAGAGGTCACAGGGGTGGTACTGACCCCAGGGCCGTCAGGGACCTGTGGACAGGAGGGACAGAAGTGGGACAGGGCTTGTGCAGGTTGGTTTGAAGCTTAGACTCTCGTTCCATGCCTAATCATGACTTTTTTTTACATACTGACTTTGCTGCTGATAGAGAGGCTCCAGAAAAGACTGCCAAAGGGCCTCTCTGTCCGCATCAGGAGGCTGGGGAGGCAGGTGCAAATGGTGACCTGGGTACATGGCTTGTCTCCCCCACCAGGCCAACCCCATACCCCAGAAATGATGTAACGTACATTCAGAGATTGCACACAGCTCTGGACAAGAAGGGATGACTCGGGGCAGGGGAGGGGGGAGCTGCCAGGGAGAGTTGGAAGAGGGAAAGCGGTGGGCGGGGATGGGGTGAAGTGGGGAAGTATGGCTCAACCAGGCTGGGTTGTGGGGAGGAAGGTATTCGGGAAGTGACAGCTCTGGGCGCAGAAATGAGGGCCTGAGAGGCCTGGACAGAACTGCCACAGCTCGCCCCCTCCTCATGTCCTCATCCCACTCTCTCTCACTCCCTGTGCTTGTCCAGCAACCCCAGGCAGGGGCCCTAAATTCAGAATAGTGAGGACTGAGCTTGGGTGAGAGAGGCAGGGAAAAGTTAGTCTTGATGTCCCCAAACTACGTGCCAGTAGCATGCGTGGGCTGAATGTCCCATGTCCCCATCGAAGAGATTAATTATGCTAGTTAACAAGAATGAGCACTTACCATGGCCAGACCACGGACTTCGCCTGACTGAATGTTCATAATGACCCTGAGGTGGGAATTGTTGTTACTCCCGGTGAGGAAGAGGGACAGAGAGGTAAGCCGCTCAATCTATAAGTAACAATGTGGAGACTGGCTTCCCAAAACAGAAACTGCATTTGCAGTCCGGTGAGTAGGGAATGTTTCTGAATGGAAATATGTTAATGGGAAGATGAGCCTACAACCAAGACTGTCCATCATTTGAAGCAGATCATTCCAGAAATGCCACGTTGGTTTCACATTTAGAAACCAATCAATATAATATACCCCATTAACAGAATGAGGGAGAAAATGATACGATCTTTTCAAGGGATACAGTAGAAGTATTTGATACAATCCAAAACTGATTTTAAATCATAGTCGTAGCAACCTAGGAAAAGGAGGGGGCTTCCCAATCTGATAGAGGGAAGTGTGGTGAGCTCAGCAGTGGCCCCCAAAGATGGCCGCACGCTAAACCCCAAGCCTGTGCCTAGATTCCTTTATATGGTAAAGGGGATTTTGCAGATGGGATGAAGTGAAGGACCTCGAGATGGAAGATGGCCCTGGATTAGACAGAGGGGCCTGATGTAATCACAAGGGTCTTTCTAAGATGGAGGCAGGAGGGCCAGAAGCAGGAGGAGCAGGTGTGACGACAGAAGCAGAGGCTGGAGTGATGTCACAGAAACCGGAGCAGGCTGTGCTGCTGGCTTTGGAGACGGAGGAAGGGGCCAGGAGCCAAGGGTGTGGGCACCTCTAAGCTAGAAAAGGCAAGGAAGCAGATTCTCCCCTGGAGCTTCCGGAAGGAACACAGCCCCGTGGACCCCTTGATTCGAGAGTTCTGTAAGATTCATTTCAGACTTCTGACTCCAGAACTGTAAGATAATATATTTGTGTTGCTTTAAGCTACTGAGTTTGTGACAGCAACCACGGGACCTGAGTATCTATAAGAAACTTCTAGGGGAAATATTGCATGTTTCCCCTCCAGGATCAGGAACAAGGCATGGATACCTATCTTTGCACTTCTGTGCAATGTTGTAGTTAAGCAAGAAAAAGAAATAAAAAGTACAGGATTGGAAAGGGAGGGCAAATAATGTTATCTCAAGGTGATGTGATTGTAGAGGAGAAAATCCAAAGAATCTACAAAGTGGTTACAATTAGATTAGAGAGGATTTGTAGGTCTGATTGTAAAGTGAACACAAAACTTGTATAAGATACAGTATCTTCATGACCAGGACACAAAAAGTACCAACCATATGAAAATGATTGGTAAAGGGAACTTCATGAAAATTAGGAACTTTTGTTTATTAAAAAGCACCACCAAGAAAGGAAAAAGCAATCTACCAAGTGAGAGAAGGTATTTGCATACTTAGAACTGGTGAATGATTTGTTTCCAGAATATGTAAAGAGCTCCTAGAAATCATTAAAACAAAAGGACAACCCAATAGAAAAGTGAGCAGAGGCAGGGACAGGCACTTTATAACACAGAGTCATCAGTGAACGTATAGAAAGGTAATCACCCTCATTGGTCACAGGGAATATGAGATGCTAATACATATCCAGAAGGCCAGGTAATAGTAAAAGCATCGACAGTGTGCCAACTGTTGGAGAGGATGTGAGGCATCTGGAATGCTCACACCTGTTGGTGGTACAATTGTTCTGGAAGACTCATCGGTATCTACTAAGGTTAAACATACTACCAGCAATTCCACTCCTTCATATACACCCAGGAGAAATGAGTGCTTCTTTCCCTAAATGGCATGTACAAGAATGTTCATTGCAGTATTATTTGTAATATCGAAAACCCAGAAACAACCCAAATGTCCATCCACTCCAGAAAGAATAATACACTGTTGACATATGCACACAATAGGATACACACAGCCACAACAAAGAAGGGAGTCCTGTGACTGGCATTCCATAGATGTGATGCTGAGTGAACAGGATCAGGACTGCAAGAGCACAGAATGTGACTCCATTTATACAAGGTTCGAGAATGGATAAAGTGATTCTCTGATGATAGCGGAACAGTGCTGTCTCTTGGGGAAAGGGAATGTCTGGGCAGACGGAAATGTTCTAGATGGTGAATGGGGTGGAAGCTACAAAGTTGTATACATTTATTGAAACTTATCAAACTGTATACTAAGATTTGTGCATTTCACCTTCTATGAATTATACCTTAGAGAAGAAACCAAACCAAACCCAAACCCAGACTCCTCACCCTTAATGTAGCGATCAATTTAAGCATAGGCATCCATGGGTAGAAGAAGCTGTTGGGTGAATGGCTGATGGGAATCTGACAGAGGGCCAGGTGGTCACTACCTGAACCCACTGAGCGTGGCATGGCCACCATTGAGACAGCTGGATGCGTGAGCTTCTTGTGAGAGGTGGTAGGAAGGATTCTCGTGGACAAAATGGAATATCAAGCATGTAGGGTTATGTCCAATTAAAGGAAATATGAGGAACAGAGGAACCATTTCAATAACAATGACAATGACCAGGAAGCAAACAGACACATACAGAACGGGGGACATTCTACAGGATAATTAACACCATTTCACAGTAAGTCAAGACACAGAAAATGAAAGGACAAAGGACATGCGGGAGGGACTCTGCTAGATTTAAAGAGAGTGAAGATGATCAGATCTCATTTGAATCCTAATTAGAA